ACTTGTCTTTGATTGTTGTTTCCTTAGTATACTAGTAATTGTCTTCCTCCGTGTTGCACTATTTTCTTGGTCATATGTAGCTAATCTTGTTGTACTAGTCGTTGCTTCAATTTTCTTGTTGTCTTTATTACACGGTACATTTTGTGGTGATCATTTATTAAATGTCATTCATTGTCTCTACTCTTACTTGTTAACTTGAATAGTGGTAGAACACTTGCACAAGAATATACGTAAATGAATCATCCACATTGATTTAAGAAGATGAATCCTGACATTACTGACCATTACATATAGTCTTGTCCACTTTCCCTCTGTGTGAGAATTGTTTTGTAGGCACGTGAGTGGTCCGTGTGGATATTATATATTGTCACTCTCTTGGCATTTGAGTCGTCCGTGCGGTTATGAATTGTAAAGTGGGCACAAGATGCCAAGTGATTAGGGTTCATGAATTGGGACCCACGAGCTCTGATTTGAGGTTTAGTACCTCGTGGAAATGCTTGAACAAAGCTGGTGTGAAAGCAGTTGTCCTTATTGAGTTGTTGTTAGTTTTTCCTTTATTTGGTTTCACCGGACTTAAACTGTGTTCCCCTTACACTACAACATTGAGTGCTTCCCGTTAAAAAATGTTGTTACTAGAGTATCATTGCAAGTATTATTTTGTATTCCTTATCCTACTTATCTTTATATTAATATTGTTTATCTGTTAGTTCACCTTCGTACTTGTTCAGGTTGTTTAGTCCAGTAGGTGTCTTGACTCTCCCTCGTCACTATTCCACTGAGGTTAGCCTTGATACTTATTGGGTATCGCTGTGGTGTACTCATACTAAGCTTCTGCACATTTTGTGCATACCCAGGTGCCACGATTATTGTTTATTATTAGCTGGATGGTCGAGCATTACTGTGGAGACTCAAAGTAAATCTGTCGTTGCATTCGCAGGCCATAGAGTCACCTTCTGTTAGTGTATTTGCACTATTTAAATTATATTCCGAACAATTGTATTTAGGTATTTTCTAGCAAACTCAGTAGAGCTTATGACTTGTACTACAGATTTTGGAATTGTAAGTTATGTTCAAAGATTTCTATTTTATATTTGTTAGTTCATGGTTGAATTCTTCTATTAATTTAGTAAGTGTTAGGCTTACATAGTCTTAGAGACTAGGTGTCGTCACGACATCCTACAGAGGAAAACTGGGGTCGTGACACACGTGGAGCCGAAGGCAGAGGATAGGTAAAACTAATGACAACTATTTCGTTTGTTACCGGAAAGAATGACGCTCATAAAGATGAAATAAATGTCTCCCACACGAGAGCATTTACTGAAGAATATTCTACAACATTAAGTACATTGTCTGTTATAAAGAATATGGCATTCATGCCCGCCGTTACACGTTCTTCAATGACACTCATAATTTACATTAAAGAAGGGCTTGAACCTAGGACCTTGTTCCCTAGGTACAACTATAAATAGTGAGCTCCATTATCATTGTAGATGACACGAATTTTCTGGCAAATATACGCTACACTCTATTCAATGCTTAATATAATCTTATCTTCTTGCTTTTTGATTTCATTGATGTTGTGCCCGGAAGCCCTGTTTCCGGAACTATTGTTTATGTTGTTTCGTCTCCATTTCAAGGCTAAGTATTGCATTTTATATAATTCATCTATTATTTTAGGATCAAATTAATTCATTTATCTAAAAACTATGTATAAATTTAGCTGTACCGTTTTACGGATAAACAACTTCTTTATCTGTTGATGAGAATTTGAAAAAGATTCTGGGATAATAAATCATGATTGTTTACTGTACGCAATCCATTTGTGTTCTTTTTTATGATCTGCCTTTGAAAATTGCATTATTCTCCTCTCTTTTTCCTTTTTCTGTTTCTTCGTTAGCTAAACAATTAATGCTTAGATTCGAATAATAACCTAAAAGGCGAAGATTATTGGAAGAACTAGTAAACTTGTCACGCTTCGCACGATTATAAAGAACTCTTATAATGATGAAATGAATTGCTTCCTATATGTAAATGGTTAAAAGAATAAAATAATAGACTATGAAGAGCTATTTTATTTACGTCCTAGTTCTTTCATATTATATTTAGTTTAACAAATAAAAGGGGAAACATATTGAAAAGAGAAATTCATTTATTTATATGTTTCGTATAAGATAGCATAATTTACTTTGTTGGTTGTTTGATATAGTGCGAAGCAAATAAAAGAGAAGATTTCTCATAATATGAAAATAAGAAATTAAACAATTTTTAATTAAAAACATTAATTTATTAAAATCTCATAGCAATAATATGGAAATTAACATGAGAGAGAGCTGACACAAACCAATGAGCGACGTAAAATAAACTACTCCACAGTACCAAATTACAAGACAATATTTACTGTTACAACAATATAATCTAAGGATGCAACAGAAATTTAATTCCTTCTCAAAATGATATAGGTACGATCATCGTCTTTGCTATTTGAAGTCAGGGAGGAGGAGCTTTGAGTCTTCCATGACCATGGCAAGTAAACCGTTTTCTTTGTTCGCTTCACAGGTCTAATTTGCACACTAAGAAAAATAAAAGAAAGTTGAAAATAATCATCATCATGGGACCACGTCTATAATACATACTTTATATATGTTAAAAAATAGTGCAGATGTGAATGCAATTATACTTCTCATTTATAAATACCGATCAGCCTGATAATTCTTGGGCTAACAGAAAAATAAACCAAAGTATGAAGAAGTAATCAACCAAGTAAATTAGTAATTATGGCAAGATCAATTTATCACTTGTACTTTCAGACACTATCTATATGAATACAAACTTAAAGCATATCCCAATCTCAAATTATATAAGAAGCTATCAAGTTAAGACCGATAAGAAAATATGGAAAAAGATAGTATCAATGTTCTCTTATATATTAAAAGGAATAAATTCATGGTGTATCTTTTGAGAATTAAGCTCTTGGGTGATTTTTTTATTTTCTTGTTAACTGGTCATATTTGAAAGCCATTTAATTAGTGAAATCCTTCCGTAAATTAGTGATCGATAGTTTCATGTACACTTCAAAAGAAAGATTGAAATCAAACAAAGAAATGTGAAAAAGGTAAAAGAAAATGAAAAAGGCAGTATACGTGAATGTAAGAGTCCATCCCTGTGCAACTCAATCCGTGTGATTTCAGAATTGGGCAAAAATACAGAATTAATACTGAAAACTACTATCGATTCTACCTTTACTTTGTCGGTCACATTGACTTCCTTGTGGACTCGAAGGAAATCTGAACCGCAAAACTGTATACTTACCCTATGAGGAATTTACTTGTTAAAATATCTATTAGAACCCTAGAATGAAAAATTCTTCTTTACTTTACTGGATTTCTATGATACCAGGAACGGGAATTACGATTTTCATATCCAAAATCTAAAGAATTTGTTATCAATAAGACTGGATAAAAGCGTAAAACAACATGAAGAAAGAAGATCAGAATTGGAAATTGTTGAGCCTCACCATCTTTTATCTTTAGCAAGAACCGATCGAGAAGCACAAAAGCATACAACAACTTTTTGCAGAGTAAGCCTCTATCGTTCTCCTTAAAAATTTAATTATAGCAAGAATTAGTAAAAGATAAAAATTATATCACATGGAGAATCATACAATGCAGAACAAAAAAATTTGAGAAATTCCTATTTGTCTTGGTATGACCAATGGCAGTTCTTTGAGAATTTAAGAGAAACTGATTGCTTTCTTAGGAATATTAATTGAGAATTTCTTCAATCTTGGTACAAAAGTGATTGCTTTTGGTAGGACTTGAGACGTTACTTTCGTCTGGGAAGGTAACTGGTAGGAGTACCATAAATTCTCTCTTAATAGTGGCATGACATGGTGGCTTCTGGATTTTTAAAAATAACAGAAAATAGTTAGAAATATGATAAAATAAAAGCCAAAAAATTGACAAAATAGGTAATTGAGTTTTCTGGGCAAATAGGGATGCCCGATCAGCTGGCTAATTCTCGGCTTTATATAAATATATAGGTATTGATGTTGTGCCCAACAATTTCCAAAAAAATTAATTTTGTTGTTAATGGATCCAACTTATTTAAACTCACCATTCGTCTAATTCTTTGGCTTTTGTTCCCCCTATTTTCCTACTTATCTTACTATAGATTCGAAGACTCAATTATTGCTCTAGGCTTTTATATTCTGCAGTTTGGAAAGCTTAAAAGTCTCAATTATTACTCTTCCAACCTTTCCTATTCCTTATTTTGTTTTTAAAAGTATTAATGGTCTTTAACTACTAAAAACATTTGATAAATATTGAGTTTCTATGTATAATGAGCAGATCCTTGAGCACAAAACTTCTTTGCTTGAAGAAAACATTGCGGAGCTATATAAAGAGATAAAAGAATCTATATTTATATAATCCATATATCTATCTATATTATATTGAGGGACAATGGGAGGTGATGTGGCACTCTTCAACAGCCAGGATTTGGGTTTATCTTTTTCCTTAGTTTTTTTAGTTTTCCAGTTTTCCTTGATATTTTCCAACTTAGGTTCTCTGAAAAATAAACCTATTTCCACTTAAATTTCATTAATTGTCCTTCCTCTCTTACTTCTCTTTCTGTCAACGAAGGGTTAACCCCATCCCTTTACCCTGTTGAAGAAACATCATTTTCTTCATTTTAACCCAGCCCCAAAAATTTCTATATATAAAACTAGGACAAACATATGTAAAAATCTAATATATATTTAAGAGAGGTGATGTTGTATCTTGTGTGGCGTAGAAATCCTATTTATTTTTTCCCTCCTTTTATTTATTTTTTTCCTTTCACGTTTTTCATTTATCCTATTTTAAAAAGTCCAAAGCCATAACTCACACCTCTTTACGGGGATTATGACTTTTCCAGTCCATAAACCCCAATCGTATAATGTGCTATAACTTGCATCTTTCTTTATATATATATATTTTATATTTTATTCCTGCCAATTGTAATCTCTCTCGCATTGGGAAGAGGAAGATGAAAAACGCGAGTGACATCTCGGCTTTTGCTCTTGGCCAGACTAAAGAGGTATGGTGATTATCTTTTCATTCCGATAAGTTAATTCTTTGAATGATATTGAATAATCCAATATCTATTCTGATGGGTTTCATATATGAAAACATGAACAAGGTTGGTTACACTTCCCATCCAACCTATTTCGTTTACACTTTTTTGTTTAATATATAAATGGTTTCATCCCCTTTCTACCGTTACACTATTTCTGTTTCCATATATGTTATTCTTTAACCTTTTCTTTTGGATTTTAGTTATTCTACGCGCTTAGCGTTGTTATCTTTGTTTCCTGAAGTGCATCACCGGCCGTGATTTTCTCCCTAAAGGATCGGGTGATTATTAGTGTATGAATTGTATTGGTAAACTTTTATCTGGTAATTTTATTCAGTTTTCTGAAATATCAGGGCTTCAATGCTTTGTATAATAAAGTGCTTCTAAGCTTGGTACGGTAAATTTATTTGGTTTTTCTTATATTGGCTTGATGGAATAATACGGTGTTTGATTGTATTAAGTATGTGAAATATTGTAGTTATTTTTCTGTAGATGATGACAAGCTTCTTATGTGATGTTGTTCAAATATTTGGGAAGTATATGAAAGTTTTGATATTAATTGATGTGTAGTGATATGTGGTTTAATCAGAGGTCTATCATGGAGTTACTTTTTCAATGGCTAATTGTTAATTTGAATATAAAATTATCGACACTAATTTGACAATTTTGAAAGTTTCTTCTATTCATGATTTTTGATTCAGCTATGTTACTTTTTAAAGTCAAAAACTAAGTTACTTAATTACCAATCAATATAATATATTTATGTGAAAAGCCTTCCACACTCGAGGCAACAGTTGTAAATTCTAGCCTATGCAATTCATGTGCTAAGATTCAATGTTTCCCAACATATCTTTCACAAATACAACAATTCAATACTCCAACTAAAACATTAGTTCGAAATAATTACAAAAAAAAAACTTTTATTAGTATTCGCCACACAGACTTTAAAGTCGTGCCTTTAGTCATTTCTGACTGTAGGATTATTTATAGTGTTGTGATTCTCGGATCAATATGAAGATTATTTGGGAGGAAAAACAACTGTATTTGACAAGAATAGAATTACAGAGAATTTACACCAAAAATTTCTCTCTACAAAAAAACCTCACCAAACTCTCTTTTTGTTATCACAATCTCTTCCTGGATTGTATTTCAATCTCTCTGGATTGATATTTCTGTGTAAAACATAAAGCTCTATTTATAGCCTTAAAGAAGGTGGTTGGTGGTTGAATTCTTCATTCAACAATGGTGGCTTCTAGAATGGGTTGGTGGCTTCAACAATGGTGGGCTTCTAGAATTGGTAGTTGGCAGCAGCTGAACTTATCAATTCTCCCCCTTCAGCTGCATTCCAACGCAGCTACTATTTGAAAGTTATTCCAACTATGTCTCTGCACAGCTCTAACTTTTCTTGAGTGACCACCTTTGTTAACATGTCTGCTGGATTCTCCTTCGTATGGATCTTCACTAGTTTCAACAGTTGTTGATTCATCACCTCGCGTATCCAGTGATAGCGAATGTCGATGTGCTTTGTCCGAGAATGATACATTGAGTTTTTGCTTAAATCAATTGCACTTTGACTATCACAATGTATCTTATACTCTGTTTGATTTATCCCTAGTTCTTGGAGAAACCGCTTTAGCCACAACATTTCTTTTCCAGCTTCCGCTACAACAATATATTCTGCTTCAGTTGTGGATAGTGCAACACACTTCTGCAATCTTGACTTCCATGACGCAGCTCCCCCTGCAAAAGTATAAACATATCCTGAGGTTGATTTTCTTCCATCGGGATCTCCGGCCATATCTCTGTATAGCCTTCCAAGACTGGATCAGCTCCCCCAAAGCACAGTCTTGATTTTGAAGTACCTTTAAGATACCTGANACCCATTTACTCTTCAGTACCTTCTTTCCTTGTGGAAGTTTCACAATCTCATAAGTGTTGTTTTTCTGTAAAAAGTTCATCTCTTCGGTCATTGCTTGCAACCATTTTTCTTTATCCTTATGAGATATAACTTCATGGAAACTCTCTGGTTCTCCATCTTCAGAAAGTAGAATATACTCGGTTTCTGGGTATCGAGTTGATGGAATCTGACCTCGTTCAGATCGACGAGGTTGTTGATTATTAGCTTCAGGAGGTGTACCATCATCGTTCCCCTGTGATGGTTCTGTAGTTTCCTGAGGGGTTTGTGCCTCCCCCTGCCAAACATCCTCCTGTTCTGCTTCTGGTACTGCTTCATGCTCCCCCATGCTATTTGTGTCAAACTGCAATGGTAGTGGATCTGGACCAACTTTTTGGGCACTAGAACCTCTTTCATAAGACATTGTGTGCTTTTCAATGTCTTCAATTGTCTGGTTTTCATGGAATACAACATCCCTACTTTTGATCACCGTCTTCTGTATTGGATCTTATAATCTATACCCAAATTCTTCATCTCCATAGCCTATGAAGATACATGGTATAGTTCTACCATCAAGCTTCTTCCTGAGCTCCTTGGATACATGTGCATGTGCTAAACAACCGAATACCCTTAAGTGAGAATATGAGGGATTCTTACCAGACCATATTTTCTCTGGAACCTCAAAATTCAACGGGGCTGATGGTGACCGGTTGATTAGGTNAGTTGATTAGGTAGCAGGCGGTGCGAACAGCTTCTCCCCAGACTGGCTTAGGCAGCTTTGCCATACTGATCATACTTCTGACTCTTTCCATAATTGTCCGGTTCATTCTCTCGGCTACTCCATTGTGTTGTGGGGTGCGTGGGACCGTCTTTTCATGTCGAATCCCTTGTCTCTTGCAATAGGAATCGAACTCCTTGGAAGTATACTCGCCTCCATTATCTGAGCGAAGGCATTTTAATTTCTTTCCCGTTTCACGCTCTATTACAAGGGTCTAAAGCAGCATTCTTGTCCATTCTGATAAGCTGCTTTTTGGTTAGAATTGATATCCCTTTTTCACTCATGTGACCGAGTCTCTGGTGCCACATGTTTTGAGACGCCTCTTTTTCCATAACATTGAGGCTGTCTAAACATACCTTCATATGAGTTTTATATAAGTTGCCACAAATATGTCCTCGAGCGAGAATCATAACCCCTTTCAGCAATTTCCATGTGCCTATTCCGAAATAACTTTCATAGCCTTGTTTGTCAAGAGCTATACCTGATATTAGGTTTAGACGAAGATCTGGCACATGATGGACATCTTTCAGTATCATTGTACTCCCGATATTTGTTTGTATTTTGATATCACCAATTCCAACTATCTCACAGGAAGAAGTGTTCTCCATCTTCACTACTCCAAAGTCTCCTGCTTTGTATGTTGTGGAGAAATCTTTTCGGGATGTGGCGTGGTATGATGCTGCAGTATCTACCACCCATTCGTTTTCTTCTTGACTTGAGACGTGAAGGCATGTCTCTTCTTGGATGGAACAAATGGCTACCTCTCCGTGGGTAGTGACTAATGCATCTCCATCCTTCTACTTCAACTGCTCCTTCTCCTTATGCAATTTTCTGCAGTTCTTCTTTAAATGGCCCTGTTATTCCACAGTGGTAGCAGACATAAGATGACTTCCTACCATCTGTGGATTTTCCCCTACTCTTGCTTCTGCCTTTCCTCTTATCTTGACTTCTTTCTTGTTGTCTCCCTCTTTCTGTAATAAGGGCATGCGACTCACCATGATCGATGTCCTTTCTTCTGGCTTCTTCATTAAATAAGGCATCTTTAACCATAGACATGGTCAGATTTCCACTAGGAGCTGAATTACTGAGAGAGACTACCAGCGTCTCCCAACTATCAGGAAGAGAACTAAGAAGTAGTAGGGCTTGCATCTCATCCCCGAGCGGCATGTCAACAGACGATAATTGATTTATCAAGCTCTGAAACTCACTGGTATGCTCGGCAACTGAAGTTCCGTGCTTTAACTTCAAATTTACCAAACGCCTCATCAACAAGGCTTTGTTCCTAGCGGTCTTGGCTTGATACATCCCTTCTAACTTCACCCAGAGGGCATACGCGTCTGTCTTTTGTGCAACATGATGAAAAACGCTATCGTCAATCCATTGTCGAATTTGACCGATAGTTTTTCTGTTTAATTTCTTCCACTCTGCTTCTTTGGTGGAATCGGGGTTCTTACCCTATGCTTCTATGGGATCAAACAAATCTTTACAACTGAGGAGATCTTCCATCCGGGGTCTCCACAATGTGTAATTTGTGGCAGTAAGCTTTATCATAGCTCCAGATGATGATGACTCTTCCATTATATCTTTAAAATGGCTTGGTCAAAATTTTGGAGTAGAATCTCACCAAACGGACCTCACCAACGCGTCCGGAATGGTGAAAATTGGTAGGATTGACTCTTCTTGGGTCAAAATAGGGCCTCCAGAAAATTTTCAAAATTTACACCAAACTTTTGGAGGTTAAATCGAAAATATACTTAACTTGTGGGGCTGATTTATAATTTCAGTAACTTCAGGGGTTATTTCATAAGTTTATGAAAATTTATGATGACTGGGCGCTGACTAGATGCTGACTGGATGATGACGTGGTGCTGATTGGGCAATTACTATTCATCATCTTCTCCCTTGGACAGAAAAAAAATAGTAAAATTTAAATTGCCATAACTTCTTCGTTTTAGCTTTGTTTTGCCTCCGGAAAATTGCGTTGAATTTGTATCGATGCAAGGAATCTAATGAAATGATCAAAACACACCGAAGATCACATTTTCGAAAAACGTAAATCCGGGTTGAAATTTTCAGTGTTCTGATATTTCTCGATGAACACAGAATCGAANGTGTGCCTTATATTTATTTCCCTTTAGCTTTTCAAATCACGTGAGGTAATATTTATTCTGTATCTTGAATTTCATTATGTTATGCTACTAATTATTTTCCTCTTATTTTCATTCTCTCTGTATTTCTTTTCCGTAATAGATGTATACTTTTCCTGCTAATTAGCATGTTAGTTCAACTTTTATGCATTTATATTGTAAAACAATAGACTCGATTGCGATTGAAACTTATTTCATGTTATTAGTAAATTATCACAATTTCATATTCTGGTCATGGATGTTTCCTTTATCCTATGATTTGAATTTAGTGAAAAAGTATGTAAGGAAAATACAAGAAGTAAAAGCAAATTAAAGTTACGTCGCTTACAAAGCTCAAAAAGTTCAAAGCATGGAGAACCTGTGGATTTTTTATTTGGTGTTAGATTTAGTAACTTCATTCGAAGGACTTCAAGTTCACCATCATGGCAAATGGATTCATGTGGTTCACAACTCTCTCTTGGTTAAGTGTTTAAAATTTAAGTAAATTAGTTAACATTTCCTTATGTACTTCTATATGTATTTGTAGATTTTCAGTAATGCATATAGAAGAGCCATGTACCTAGAGCAGTGGTGAGCACAGTTCCGAGGATATCAGTGGCTGTTACACTCGGTGGCTGTTGAATTCATGGTCCGATCCATCTCTAGAGACAACTTTTTAAGCCTTCTACCCATTCGTACGAAATGAGAGCAGCCATCATGGATTGCGTATACTAAACAATCCTCTCCTTTCTTTGTTGAGTGACCTTTTCTCGTGTTCTCTTAATCATTAGCAATGGCTGATAACAAAAGAGCAGCTTCCAAGCGGCAAAGAAGCAAAAGGTTCTATATATCTCTTTCTTTCTCCAAAATAATTAACATCAATCTGTACCGTTTACATTGTTGTACTATTAAACTCTTAATTATTCAGTACCCCGAACCAGAAGATAGACATGCATATCATTTTCCAGTTTTGGTTAATTTTACGTGTATGATGAATTCGACTATAGAGATGACGTTGAAGCATCAAGTATTATTCGCCGCATATCTCGTAGAAGTCAAGGAATGCCACCAGAATTGAGTGATGGCCTCATTGATAAAATTGACGCAAGGGAATTATCGAAAAAGTCTTCTACTTGTGAGGAGTTTTCGTGTGATGGTATGGTTAAAACAATAAGAAGTTTGAGAAGACATGATCCGCTACTGGATACAACACTTACTGATCGGCAAGTTGATCTGGAAAGTTTGGAGTTGAACCCCAACGGAAGAACACAAATGGTGAAAGGTGCCATTTCAGATGTGAAGTTTCTTCCCGCAGCGAATATGAAAGTAATATTTGTAGGCGATGAGCTTGGCTATTTGGGGCTATGGAATGTGGATTTTGAAGAGGAGAACGGGGACAATGGAATTTATCTGTATCAACCTCACCAGTCCAAAATATCTGGAATTTTAATTGAGCCATTCTCCATGTTGAAGGTGATAACTCTTTTTTTGCTTTTCCATTTTTATTAGTACTTAATTATGATTCGTACTATTGTCTGTCGGATACATATACATTAGCAGTCGATTGCTGCATTATCTTAGCTAGCTGATCAAAATAGTGAAGTGGAAAGTACAAAAAAAAAAAGAAGAAGAAATTAGTGATGGACAAATTCTGTTGCTAAACTAAAGAATTTAGTTGCTAATCCTATTAATGACGGATTATCAAAGTGATGAATTTCATAGCTAGTTCCTGTTTTAATTTCATAGTAAGGCTTGGTGTAAAGCCTTTAAAGTTGATACTGTTTTCCTCTTTAAATTCTTCCTTTTTGGGCTTTAAAAAGTTGTGATGACTCTTGCAACAATAATCTAACTAAAACCCCCAATATGTGAGAACTGACAATGAAAACGAAAAGCTATTCATGTACTGTATATGAGCTATTTCATACATCACATCATCTTCATGTCTATAATATGGTTATTGATCATATTAGTTAATTAGTCTGACATTCAACAACTTTACTTATACAAATACTTGCAGATATTTACTTCAAGTTATGATCAACGTATTATGTTGCTGGATGTTGAAAAGGAGGCTTTCGAAGAGGTATATAAGGATACTTATGCAATATATTCCATATGTCATCGAGTACAGGACATAAACTGTTTATATTTTGGTGACGAAGTTGGAGCGCTAAAAATATTTGATGTAAGAGCTAGCACACTATCTTCATTATGGGAATTGCACGAAGAGAGAATCAATACGATACATTGCAAGCCAGATGATCCTAATATTGTAGTTACAAGCTCTGCAGACAGGACTTTCTCTTTGTGGGACTTGAGAAGTATTAGCAGAGATCAACCAAAATCATTGACAACTATTAGACATGGTGGTCCAATTCATTCCGCGTACTTTTCACCTTCTGGGAGTTTTCTTGCAACAACAAGGTTTGTGCAACTAGTGAAGCCCCTTTCGTTCCTACATACAGTAAATGCTTTAATGATTTTGACAGAATCGAGTGATGTCATATGATGATAAATCAGTGAAACAAAAATTAATAAATTCAGATATCGAAATTACTTCAAATCCTAGAAGTACTTTCAAAACAAACATTTGATAGTAAAATGCATGAAGAGAATATTGCCAATGTTACGTTTTTTAGAAATATATATTTTTTTGAAGATGTTTCTGTAGGAAATTTTAAGAGGAAAAGGTCTTAATAGTATGAAAAATGAAACCACTCTATCAATTTTGTTATCTGCTTAATTTTCTTGAGGTACTTGACTGTCTGTTTTTTATTTTATCAATTGTTTGGTATCTCCTCGATCAGTAGTTACGTTGGTAATTTCATGTTTAACACAGCTCGGACAATACTATTGGTATATTTGGAGGAGAAAACTATAAGGAGAAGTTCCTGATACACCACAACAACCTAAGTGGTGAATATATTTCCACATTAAGGTATGAACATAAATTCTTTTTTTAAACCATTACCTCATGAAGACTTGTACAAATATTAGATATATATAAGAACAATTCATCCACAAGAAAATTGAGTTAAAGAGCCATTTTCTTGTAGAATATCTAATCCACTTTTGGAACAGAGGAATCTGGGGCTGGGATGACTCATATGTCTACATTGGCAAGATTCAGGAAAAGCAGAAGCACAAAAGAAAAGAAAATCTCAAAAATGATGACAAAAATGGAGTCGATGACATTTCTAGTGTTGATGATGACAAAAATGGAGTCGATATCATTTCTACTGTTGAGAAGAAGGTTGTGCGTACTTTGCAAAGTGATTATATGCCTACTGTTCCATACCGTTTGGCTGCTCATCCTTTTATGGTTGGAACACTTGCTGGTGCCACAGGCAAAGGTAAAGTATATATGTGGGTAGAAGCAGCAGCCGATCCAGCATCATGAGTTTATGCTTTCCAAAGTCTAAAAAGGCAATTTACTTATGTAGATTTCTTAACTCAAATACATGTTTTGGTCAAAACTATTTGGTCAAACTATTTGGTTCGCTGAAATCGCCTCTAAATAGAAGCATGACACTTCGATTATGTTTTCTTAAGGACAATGTATATGTTTCTATTTTGAGATATGCTCCGGTGAAGTAGCGGATGACATGTATAGTATAAATATGGAATTGTTTTCATCATTTTGGTGTTTTTGTGGAGAATGATTATATATTTAGAAAATATTTAACTTTAAAATTTTTATTTTATCCATTTTACCCTTAATGTGAAGCTTTTATAGCGAGACAAATATTATGGCCCCATAAAGCTTTTTCCCCTTAAGCTTTTAGGACTACATGTTTCAAAAGTCTTTTTTTTTCCTTAAACTTTGTGTCAAGTAAAACCACATAATCTAAATTGAAACAGAAGGGGTATACGTTAAATAAAAGAAGCTGCATAAAATTCTAAAGCTGGAGTCAGGTCACCTAGTTGCATATCTTAAGTTTTAATTAGTGAAAGAGCATTGACTACTCTATTCTTGTCATGGCCCAAATCCTTACCTGTCGTGATGATGCCTATCGATGGTACTAGGCAAGCCGACATTTCCAAAATACTTCTAATATTTCACAGAAATATGAATCAAAAAGTTTTTAAATAAACAAAGTTTCTGTAAAAAAGGGTAAAACCCAAAATACAAGTGCGGAAAATAGCCCCCAACATCGGGGTGTCACTAAGCCATGAGCATCTATACATAATCGGTCTAGAAAAGAAACGACTATAACGGTTTGGATTCAAATACGACGAACGAAACGATAAGGAAGAAGAAAACAAAGTCCGCGAACATCAGGCAGCTACCTCATTATCTCCAACAATCAGCTACGAGACCTATCAACACCCTCCGCGTCCAGAAACTCCTGGATCTGCACACGAAGTACAGGGTGTAGCGTGAGTACAACCAACTCACTAAGTAACAATAATAAATCAGGAACTGGAAGATAGTGACGAGCTATGCAGTTATAATTCATTTTAAGTAGTCTCACTAAGGAAAATAGACATGTTTCCCAAATCCGGTAAATCAAGTCAAATCAGTTTGTTTATGCCAAGTTCAAGTAAGATCGGATAATGATATCTTTCAAAAAAATTCAAAACAGTGATATAAGGTAACTATGTGCAACAATAATGAAATCATATACAGCCTTTCGAGACAACAATCACTCAGTCCTCCCATTCACTCAAACCTCAGAATCACTCATTCCTCACAGTCACTCATTCCTCACGATCACTCAGCACTCGACACTCGATAATCGCACTCAGTAGGTACCTGCGCTCACTAGGGATGTGTATACACTCCGGAGGGACTCCTGCAGCCCAAGCACTATATCAAGCAAATTATGGAATAAATCAATGAAACATGTTGCGGCGTGCAACCCGATCCCATAAATATCCTCACAATCAGGCCCTCGGCCTTACTCAGTCATCAATCTCTCCGGTCTCTCGGGCTCTCAAAAATCTGGAAAATCAGCCCCGATGGCAATAACATGATGTATCAATAAGAATAACAGAGACTGATATATGATATGCGAGTAAAAACTGAGTATGGGTACAAATAGTATTTAGCAGGTAATTCCAACAAGTAGCACGGCCTCTGTGGGTCCCAACAGTACCAACACATAGTCTAAACATGATTTCTAACTTGGTTTACAGTAAAAAATTTATAATACATAGAGAGCATATAGCTAACAGCAAGTTATTCAACTTTACAGTTTTACGGAATGGACCAAGTCACAATTCCCACGGTGCACACCCACACGTCCGTCACCTAGCATGTGTGTCACATCCAAAACAATTACATAACATTAAATTCGGGGTTTCATACCCTCATGAACAGATTTAAAATTGTTACTTACCTCACTCTGAGCAAAACTCTGCTCCAAAATGCCTTTGCCTCTCAAATTGGTCTCTAAACATCCCAAGTATAGCCACAAGCAGTACAATACAATCAATATAGGCTAAAGAAATCAATTCCACAAGAAAAATACGAAATTATGGCCAAAATCCAAAATCGGCTCAAACCCGTCCCCCGGGCCCACGTCTCGAAATCCGATAAAAGACACAAAACCCGAAAGCCCATTCACTCACGAGTCTAACCATACCAAATTTACCAAAATCCGACAACACTTCAGCCATCCTTCAACATCAAACTCCAAGTTCGTTAACCACCCGAAATCAACCCGAGGCCCCCCGGACCTCAACCAAACATATCAACAAGTCTTGTAACCCAATTCGAACTTAGTCGAACCTTCAAATCACCTCAAACAACATCAAAAACACGAATTGCACACGGATTCAAGCCTAATGAACTTTGAAATTTTCAAATTTTATAAGCGATGTCGAAACTTATCAAATCACGTCTGATTGACCTAAAATTTTGTACACAAGTCATACATGACATCATGAACCTACTCCAACTTCCTGAAATCCAATCCGACCCCGATATCAAAAATTCCACTCCCGGTCAAACTTTTAAAAAATTTCAACTTTCGCCGTTCAAGCCTAAATTATACTATGGACCACCAAATCACAATCTGGACACGCTCCTAAGTCAAAAATCACCTAACAGAGCTAACTGAACCGTAAAAATTCAAATCTGAGGTCGTTTACACATAAGTCAATATCCAGTTAACTTTTTCAACTTAAGCTTTCAAATAATAAATTAAGTGTCTCAATTCACTCTGAAATCTCTTCCAACCTGAACCAACCAACCCGGTAAGTCATATAACAGTTGTAGAGCACAAAAGAAGCAGAAAGTGGGAGAACGAGGCTACAACTCTCGAAAACACCGGCCGGGTCGTTACAGTTCTCTCTACAAAAATACAGTTTTATAAGGAAGTGATTTTACCTTATATTTTTTTGTCTTTTTATTAACACTACAAGTAAGACATGTTGGAGAATATTTCTTAAAAAATTGTTGTCATGACCCAAAATCTGCAATAGGTCATTACGGCACCCAACGTCATTCTTAGGCAAGCCAACGGTGAACTATCAGCTTAATTATTCATTTTATTATTTTTGAAATCATGAATCTTGTTAGATAGAGAGATTAATGCATTAAAAATAGTAGGTATGTACAATTTAAATGAAATATAAAACTAAAGTGTGTCAATGTAAAGCAACTGTACACAAATTTTAGAACACCCCAAAATTCGGTATCACAAGTGCATGAGCATCTACTAGGATGTACAATAACAATACATCATCTGTCTGGCATATTAGGTAGACAAGGTAAAGCCAATAATTATGATGGAAACTCTGTGTGCTGTGAAACATAACATGAAATACAGCTCACCATAGAGTCCCCTCAGCAGCTGTACCTACGCGCCCAAATGACCACCAAATGAACCTGTCAAATACTGCACATTTAGTACAGAAGTACAACACGAATACGCAAATCAACGCATATTCAGTAAGTATCGAGCCTAACCCCAAAGAGGTAGTGACGAGAGGTCTACATTGACACTTACTAATGGTCTAGTAAATCAAATACAATGAAGTAGACAAGTATGAAACATGGTAAGTAAACAATGAGTACAGATGTAGGAAAATAATACAGTCTACAGCAGAACAATGAACACAAGGTCCTCAATCATCGGATACTTCCTCAAATGGATTACGTATATAAGATGAGCTCAACGAGAATCTCGTTCGCCAAATCATCGGATAACTGGCTGAGGCGAGAATGGATTACGGTCAATACCAAATTAGCGGTCACATCTCAAGTCAGGAAATTCATGAGTACGTGGACTCCTTATCAAGTATTTCGCATGATTCTGCAGAGGCGAGCGACCCGATCCCATAAGAGCGTTTTATAGAAATGCCGAGGCAAACGACCCGATCCCATAAGAATATGATACATGATACTGCTGAGGCAAACGACTTGATCCCATAAGAATATGATACATGATATTGTCGAGGGAAACAACCTAATCCCATAAGAGTGTGTTACAATATCTTGTCGAGACGAAAGGCCCAATCCCATAAAAGTGTGTTACAATATCCTTCCATGGAGAAAGGTCCGATCCCATAAAGTGTGATAAATAATCTTGCCAAGGCAAACGGCCCAATCACATTATAATAAGAAGCTTTAACGGGTCCTTGACCCCACTCACAAATATATATGTGAGTTATGAAGTTTAAGGAAATTTTTTGATGAATACGCACAATTCGGGAGAACTTCATAAGGGAAGCATAATTTTCGCGGCTAATCCAATAGCTCATCAAATATCTAAAATAGCAAGTCCATTACTCTACGCGAGTCTAGTCTCAGGTCATATGTTTGGCCAGCCTCTTTCTGGGATTCCATACCCTGGGACTTTATGTTCATAATTTTTTCTTTTTTTGTAAAGTTTTTGTAAAAACGAAGGCTTTACCAAGACTAACTAATAAAAAGCCTAGGAACGAAAGTGATCTTAGAAACCAATCGCGTTCTGTCTCTGTGGACCAAGGAGAAAAGGTGCTCGACGGGAAGAGGAGTATCCCATGAGAGAAGCAAGGAGGTCAACCTCTTTCAAATATATAACATGGTTTTCTTTCCTTTTGGTAGGAGAAAGACATATGTGCTTGTAGACAGATAGAAAGTAGAAAGAGAGTCGTACCTTGCTAAAAATCCGATCCTTGTCTACCAACCACATATTTTCTAACCAAATCTAATTCTCTCTCGATACGTTCCTCAAAAAATCCGATTCAGGCGGATTCTTCCCCCAACTAACGGCCGAAAATGTTCGGGTCGAAATATGGCTTTCAAATTAAGTTCTGAATTAGTGAATGCTGCCAAAGGGAGTGGCGATGCCATACGCAAAAAGGAAGAGACTCATAGAATGCCAGAGGCAAATAGAGCTTTTGCACATTTTCATTAATCCATGAACAAGATCTATTCATCTCGATCGGAAAAGAATCAAGAGAAAAATAAAGAATCGGAATTGATCGATAGATTTCTCGAAACAAACGAAAAGGAAAGGAAAGATGAAACATAAATCATGGATCAATTAAGCTCTCTCGGAAGTATTGATCCAATTCCAAAATTATGTTTTACAATTTCATAATCTAATTTTTTAATGACTAAGTGACCCTTGGATAACCCAATTACAGTTTAAAAGGATAGGAGTAGGTAAAAGGACAGTCTCATTGAGGAAAATTCGTT